CCCCTGCACAACTTCGCTCGCTTCCTGGACACAACGAAATATGACTTTAGTTTGCTCTAGAAATAGTTTGGTTGTTGGGAAAAATTCACGGCCGGAACTAGATTTTATTTGTCAGACTGACGGGGACTGAAGAATGATGGTTTTTTTTGGGTGGGGGGGAAGGGACAAACAATATTTTTTTAGAAGATTTTACCAAAACATTATCATTAAAATAAGAAAGGAAATATTAAAATTCATTAATAAAATAGTGCTGGGGAAATTAAAGAGTGTTCTTCATTTGAAAAAATTACAAAGAAAAATGTTAGAAAGTCAAGAATTTATATAATAGACATCAGTTATTTTGAATTCTTTTTCTCTCAGTTCTGAATTTATTCGGTTCCATTGTAAAACTTTTTATCCATAAATTATTTTCTGAAGTGCTATCCATCTACTCATTATGAGCCTTGCCATTCTTTTAGAAAAAACTGCAGTTGCGGAGCGCTTAGCAAGTTGTACAGAGATAAATTGAAAATAAGGTTACCTATTAATAAGTAATTAAAATTAGGTTAACTATTAATTAGTAATTGAAATTAGGTTGCCTGTCCATACTTGGTTTCTAAAGCAAGAACACTTCACTGTTCCCTTTGTTCACTTCACTGTGCCACGCCTGCATCGCTTAGCTACATGTGTAACACTGTGTTAATTTATTTTATTACTTCATGATTATATTATTTTTTATCTATGTTACCAGAAAGTTGATTATATGAGTCAATTGAAAAAAGACTGTATTTCTAGCCCGTTATAACCCGGGACTCGATTATAGGTAAATTCGAACCCTTATTAACCCTAACAATTTCAATGCCAACTTCATTGCGTTAATAATAACAAATTGCCAACATATGTGATTCGTACTTAAGTACAAAAATGAAACGTATGAGAACATTTTGCCTGAATTTATGCGTGACACCGAATAATTATCAAAAGAATAACATGTTGAACCTTATGGCGCTTTCATTTCAATTTTACCGGCGTCATGCGAATATTTTATCTGTCTACGTCGGTTGGTGCAAAACAAAGCCATCAACGGTCTCAAATTTTCGAAATTATTTCATTGAATAACACCCGAAATGGCGCTTTTGGTGACGCCATTTCTCGATGATATTTCTGTAGTAAGAGCGCAGTCAATAATTTCAGCTCGTAATTAGCAGGTACGGTCGACGTCCAGAGAAGTCGGCTCCAGCAATGACAGCTTTGCAAGGACTATCTTAACATCAAATTTTTAGACTCGCCTTCGATTTTTTTAAATTATGAATGATTTTTGAGCTGCGCGCTGGCTGGTCATCGCTCATATGCCGCGAGAAATGAGAGAGTTTCAGCATTAGAGTTATTTTATTGATATGATTCTTTATTTTGCTTGAATTGTTCTCTCTAGTGGAGAAAATGAAAAATCTGTAAAGTTTGCACTACATAATTTTTGATAACGAATGCAAGTAGCAGTTTTGTGAATGAATGGTAATTAAAATATTTCACTTTTATTTTTGGTGCATTAAAATTTTCCTTAGTACGATGATTTTACGAGAATTCTCTGAATCTGTGGCTGTACCAAACAAATATTATCCATTCTCAAAATATAATGAAATTGCTGTATTTTCTTTAGAATTCTTAATCTCTACTCCATGAAATATTCAAACATAATGTTGCAGGAAAGTGCCTTAAATTTTAATGTTAGCAACACACTTTTCTCGCGAATTTCTGCGGGTATTTCTTTGCATATTTTTGACTCTCCTAAGAACAGGATTTTTTCTCCAAATCCGCAATTTATGGGGAAATATGAGAAGCGTAACTGGACATTAAAAATAGTGAGCCTTTTGCTCGCAGCTTCACAATTCTACATGTAATATCCTATAAGGTTATGCGCAAGGTTCTGTCTGTGAAACTTTTACATGTGCGGCAATTCTTACTTTTTAACCTAAACCGCCCGTTCGAACAAATTTCCTTTCCGTCATATATATATATATATATAAATCATTGTTATCTGAATTTTGAGAACTAAAGTATTAACATCATGAACTTCATTTTACTGTGCATTTATCAACTCTTCCCTCATAAGGATCGAATTAAGACGAGTCAAAATGTCATTAAACCTGATTTTTCTCATAGATGAGAAAAATGTCCCAATGTTCGCAAAATTTTTGTTATTATAACTAATATTTCTTTTTATGTACAGTACAATATATATAGGTATTATATTCCCTTCGATTGACTTCGTATGTGGTGAGGAAAATGCACTAAGAAGAACGGGTTCCGGATAAACCCGGACATAAATATTTTATTCATTAATTATATTAATTAATTATTTTATAATTATTTATTCACCATCATTAATAGCATTAGTCGATTATTGTCTAGACGTTTATTGTGTCTAGACGCGAGGAAATATCAAGCGAAATGCAAGCTGATAATCTGGCTGCCATATATACCTGCTAGGCAGTGGCATGACGTCTGTTATATGATGTCACTTGTAAATAATAATAATAATTATTAGCTAGCAGTGAAAATTCCGGAGCAGTTTAGTTAGGTTAATTTGATGTAATAATAAAAATTATAAGCTAGCAATTTAATTTCCGGAGTAATAGCGCATATGTTTGCATAATTTGATGATTACTTATATGAAAATTAAGAATTATTACCCAACATGCACATGATCCCATACACAGGGGGCAGTAAATTTAGCTTCATTAATGGCAGCTGTGAAATAATTTTTATTACAAGCTGCCCTCCGCCCGAGAGTTCCTTTCTTCTCCTTATACTCTGTAAAATTTTTTAGTAACAATCACAGGAGAATTGCTATCAATATAACCTAAATGAAGTGAATTTCAGAATTAAATGCCTATTAATTTGTGAAACACTGTTACACTTTTGTTAATTAATATATCTTTAGCGGCATTCGCGTGCCTTGAAGGATTATACAAATAATTTTGATCACAAAAGTTCTAAAAATTCATTGTATAACATGAAAATTTATCGTTTAATTAAATTTATCACGTCATTACTCCAGTACTACGAATTCAAGATAACGAATGAATGCCCTGATTTTTCGAGCACATGCGCGAACGGAACGAGTTTCTTCGAACGTAATTTTAAGTGCCTGTCGATATATCTTCTGATCTGCACAATTAGTTCTCCGAGAAGTTCTCTTTATTTCTTTTCTATTTTTTATCGAGGCAATATCCAGAGAGCGAGATTGATATCTGCCTTTTGAAGGGCCGACAACTTGTGGCTCAAACTTCGCGCTCGTACGTTTCATACGTTTCGATCTTTACTATTATTGCGATTCCTAGAATTGCTGATATCACTAGAGAGTTTAATGCACATCTAGGCTTAAGGTCTCATGTTTTCTAGACGTAATCAGTATAGCTTAATGTACATATATAGGATCATTTCCATCAAATCTAAAGTACTTATCATTTAAAAAAAAGTTCATTCTTCTGACCGATGATTTAATTGAACATCTATGCACAGTTTACATGCCCGTATTTGGAAAATGTAGCTTGCGGTCATTGAAACACGATATAATAATTTTAATCTATAAATTGAAATATTTAATCCGATTTAGAGATTAAGTTGCACTTCCCGACAACCTTTTAGCATTTTGTATATAAAATGAAATTGAAAATTAATTATGATTTTTTAGGTAATGGAGATAGTACTGGAAATGTGCCATTTTGATTTGCAGTATATCATAGATATCTTACATGTGGTAAATCATAAAAATGAGATATATTATAAATCTATTAGTCATCCTATATTAAATTTATTCTTAATATAAATGTCAATTTTATTTACCTGTTACTTAGGTTATGCAACTCATACATATTTTTAATCAGGCTATGAAGAAGAGGTTCAATGCTCGACAGATTGATGGATTCGGATCTGTAAAATTGAAGTTTTTCAGTGCATTGATATCATCTTTTAAATCTGTGAATATTTAGATAATTGATTATCCATTAAGAATTATGATACTCATCTAATACAGATTCAAAAGAGAATTTCGGAAGTCCCTGTGAATTATGATTTCATCAAAGATGAATTACGAATATAGTCATTTATTGATTTTACAAACCGTACGACGTTAAGAATAATTTTTTCTGACATGGTATGGTATATTTTATGGTATATTTTATGATATGGTATATTTTGGCTGGTATGTTTCTAGTGGATTATTTGCACTACATACCTATACCATGGAGAAACGATATGTTCACATATTTGGGTGGTTTACACAATTTTTTTATCAGACGTTCATATATATGAGAATTTGAATTGATTCAAGTTTAAATTCCGTCAAATCGTACAACAAAAAAAAGTGGATATTATTTACAGAGATATTAAAACTTGAATTTTAAAGATTTTATTTGAAAGACTTGAATTGAAAGACTGTCTCATTTATACTACAACAGTAGATAAATTCTGTCATCCTTCATAACTCGTTTACAAATAAATATCTAAAATTGCTTCTTCGAAATTATTAAGTAATAAGCCGCACACCAGTGCCGAGGTTCTCAATTTTCTAGGTATCGGAAAAAATTTAAGTTGTATAAAAATTCGTCCATTCGTCCAAAAAAAGAAACAAGGAATACATCGCCTCTTTACCCATAGAAATAATAATGCGTTTAATGATACGCATTCTAAAATGAAGCCTCATTAAACGACCCTAAGTCTGGTTGCCTTTGTATCCCGACTTCATATTTCTCGTTGCTGATTATAAATGAGACCGTCCATAAGACCGTAAATCTAGCATGGTCTCCTGTGCTAGCTCTACCATCAAGTATTTAGGAACGAGCCGTCTCGCATATTTATGAATGCTCCTTACTTTCCATCTCGTCAAAGTTACAAAGGCCCTCGAAGCGCATCGTTCATCATAGGCTTCAAACTTCGCACTTTTGTCTTACTCGACTTCTACTCAAGTTGCCGATATAAATTCATCATGACCAAAACAAAGCACTCTGAAAAATGACCAAATGAGGATCATCGCCACAGAATATAAGATATCGTCTTCTGCTTTGCGTGAAGCGTAAATTGCGGGACGCGCGCGCGTGCTCTGATAAAATGCGCACCAAATGAGAAAACTTTTACGACGTGGGAACAAATGCAAGAAATATTCTGTCTGTGCCTGCTAAATTTATGACTTTGTGTGTTATAAGGTAAATTTTATTAGAGTTTGGAAAATTGTTTGAAAATAAGTTTTAAACATGGAACTTATTTTCGACTAAAAAGATTCCTTATATATGATTAAGGCGGTGTTTGTGATATTATTATGTTACGTAGTATTGCCCACAATGCCGTTACCCTCCAAGCTTCAATATTGTTAATGTAGCGATAGTCATGGTTAGCAATATAGTCAATTACCAAAGCTAAGATAAATATTTTGAATGTCCTGCCGGCACTAAAATGTTAATTATCGAGCATTATCAACGTGCTTACCAATGCGTTTTAACGAAAAAATTAATCGCTTGGTCCGCACAAACTCCACAGGCTCTGCAGTGAAAGCTGAGTTGAAGTTCAGAAGAACCTCTCACTGAATAGTGAGAGGTTCTTCTGAAATGAAGCGTGGCACACACAGCACCGTACGAATATTTTCAATCGTGAGTTGAATGTTTAGAAAGGCAGCCAAGAAATTAGTTCTGAAAGATGCTTTATTCTACATTGACATTTAAATAATTTGGCATTTATAAGTAAGTTTTTGTTAATTCTGCTTGCCGATATATTAATTAATATTTGAGGAGTCACCTGACTTCAAAGTTGGGTAAACATTTAAATTTAATACTCATTATAAATCTCTCATTATGATTAGCACGAGAACAATTATCAAGACCACAAAGCTTGCTGTACGCGGGAGTCTTCATGAAGGCTTTCTAGTGGCAGACCACATGTGTTCTCATCCAGTTATTGACGAACGAAAATTCCAATTAAAAACCCAATGGAAAATGATGACAGTCCCTTCCTACCGTTCTCTCTCTCTCTCTCTCTCTCTCTCGATCTCTTTAACTCCCTCGCAAATGAAACAATTTAAACATTTGGTGTCCAATTGAGAAGCTAAAATGGAGTCTCTGTTATTCGTTTTTAACAAACAATAGCCTTTATAAAACTCGTCGAGAATCCGAAAGAAAGGCCGGACCGGCCAACGTGTGCCAGGCGCTTGTCAAATGGACCATACATGTTGTGTCCACACAGACATCTTGTACACTTATTTGCATACAACTTATTTTTATATTATCATACAAACTACACGTAAAATTATAATTTCAATATTTTAGGCTGAAAATTATTTGTTTTTCATGAGATACAATGAGTGATATTAGAATATTTTACGGTTTTTTGTTGGTCGATAGCTCGCTCCGAGTTCCTGAACGCAATATTAGTCTGATATTGAACGCTCCTTTGAATGACTGTCGGGTTTAAAATTGAGCCTAGTTTACTGCAGTTGTCAGCGCCATTGATAGAGAAATAATCGTGCATGAAAATCAATTTGACGCTTTTGTTTGCCAGCGTTTATATGCTGAGCGGTTTGTAAGTTTGGCTTCATCTGAAATGATTTATATCCTTCCGTAACTATTGTATTTTGTTCTTGTTATTAGCAGACCTCATTGCATTGATTTGGCTTTGATCACTCATGCTCCTATTTCGATGCACATAGTTCGCTTATTCCTACGTTTATACTCGTGGTACTTATTCTTACTCGCTGTCACCTACCTACCGCACTGCTCCGCTTAATTGCACTGTACATTATTACCTCATATTACTTTCTTGCTGACTTATTACTCAGTAACCCCCGGTTACCCCAGCTCCTATAGTATTCTCAGGTCAGCGCATTCTTTCACTCCCTCTCTTCCCCACCTCACCACTCCCTCTCTTCCCCACCTCACCACTCCCTCTCTTCCCCACCTCACCACTCCCTCTCTTCCCCACCTCACCACTCCCTCTCTTCCCCACCTCATCCCACCTCACCACTCCCTCTCTTCCCCACCTCATCCCACCTCAGTGACCTCACCACTCCCTCTTCCCCACTTCATCCCACCTCACCACTCCCTCTCTTCCCCACCTCATCACCACCTCACTCATCACCACTCCCTCATCACCTCACCACTCCCTCATCACCCCCTCCCCCACTCCATCACTCCAGGAAGGCCGGCGCTGCGAGGCCGCGGAGCGGAAAGTCTCGCCTTATTTACATATCTCGAGACTATTTTCTCAAGGTAAGGTAAATATTAACGCAAGCCAACATGTTTACCCCGTTCGCCTCCACATATTTACCCTATGATGTCTATTTGACTTCTTATTATGCGGCGTATAATTAAGAGATCTCCGGTCCTGTCTTTGCAGACTCCGGTCGATGTACAGGAATACGAGGCTCGTAACGCGTCGTCAACGCGCCGGCACCAACACGGCGCTCTGTAACTACCCAGTGAAAATTTACAGACGCGGCAGCTTCTGGTTTGGATTACCAGAAGCTGGGGCGACTCTAAATTTTGTTACCCAGTGAAAATTTACAGATGGGCGATTCTAAATTTTGTTAGCCAGTGAAAATTTACAGGCGCGGCAGCTTCTGATTTGCATTACCAGAAGCTGGGGCGATTCTAAATTTTGTTATGATCAGTTGTAAAGCATGAAAAATTGCCAATGAATATTTGAAGGGAAACTTAGCAGGACGTTGTGAACCTCAGCTAGAGGGAATGATTACGTCTTGGACTTCTGCATCATTGTATATTTAGTGATTGTTCAGCTTATATAAAAAGAACTCTTTTTTCATGTCGGAATAAATGTTTTTCATTTTATTTCTGTTTTCATGTCGAGAAATAAATTTAAATGTAGTATTATTATTGCATGAAAGCGGTACTGTAATAAATCGAATAAATTTCGATTGAACAGTTATTGAGTCAGACTATATATATATTTTTTTATTATTTTTGGAGCATAAACTAAAGTGTATGAGACAGAAGGTTGTCGTTAAAATCGTTTCATGGGATGCTGCTATTAATGGGTTAATAATTAAGTGGTTCTAGTGAGGGCAAATTCCGGAGTGATAGTCAAGTTCTAAAGTGAGGCCAAGTTCTAGTATGAAGGTAAAGTTCTAGTGTAAAGCTTAAGTTATACTGTGAGGGTATAGTTCTAGAGTGAAGATATAGTTCTAGAATGAGAGTATATTTCTGGAGTGGAGATAAAGTCTTAGCTTGAGAGTCAAGTTCTAGTGTGAAGATAAAGTTCTAGCGTGAAGGCCATGTTCTAATATGAAGATAAAGTTATACCGTGAGGGTACAGTTCTCGAGTTAAGATAAAGTTCTAGCTTGAAGGTCAAGTAAGTTCTTGCGTAGCGCATCATGCTCTCAGGAACAGATAAAGAACTATTTATTTTCTGTATAATTACTAACCATTGAACATCAATACACGATCATTAATATAAATTTTATATTTAATATTCATTGTTATGACGATTTAGCTGCAATCTCATAGTTTTTTTTCCACACTCATATTATTACCTCGTAAAATTTAAGTCGTCTGATAGAACGATGGCCTAAGTTCCGCACACTTGCTTCGTGGCTACACTGCATTGCTGGGTAAATACGCTCGCATGACTTGCAGTTTCTTGCAATACGCGCTCCTACTTAGCATTACACGTGTACCTACTCAATATTAGGCGCTACTACTTAGCATTACACGTGTGCCTACTTAATATTAGGCGCTTACTTAGCATTACACGTGTACCTACTCAATATTAGGCGCTCCTACTTAGCATTACACGTGTGCCTACTTAATATTAGGCGCTTACTTAGCATTACACGTGTACCTTCTTAATACTAGGCGCTCCTACCTAGCATTACACGTGCACCTACTTAATATTAGGTGCTACTACTTAGCATTACACGTGCACCTACTTAATATTAGGTGCTCCTACTTAGCATTACACGTGCACCTACTTAATATTAGGTGCTACTACTTAGCATTACACGTGTACCTACTTAATATTAGGTGCTACTACTTAGCATTACACGTGCACCTACTTAATATTAGGTGCTCCTACTTAGCATTACACGTGTACCTACTTAATATAAGGCGCTCCTACTTAGCATTACACGTGTACCTTCTTAATATTAGGCACTCCTACTTAGCATTACACGTGTATCTACTTAATATTTGGCGCTACTACTTAGCATTACACGTGTACCTTCTTAATATTAGGCGCTACTACTTAGCATTACACGTGTATCTACTTAATATTAGGTGCTTCGACTTAGCATTACACGTGTACCTACTTAATATTTGGCGCTAATACTTAGCATTACCCCCACATACTCAGTATTACGCGCTCCAAATTAGCAAAACGCACACCTACTTAATATTACTAGAGTTCACTTAGCATTACGCGCGCCTACTTAACATTTCACAAGCCTAACTACTTAGCAATACGCGAGTCTCCTTAGCATTACACGCTCCTATATATACTTTGCATTACTCTCACCTACTTGAACTGAAAATAACTCCTACTCATACTTATGCTTAGAAGAAACTAAACCGAGATCTGAGGTTATCATCCATCATAATTCTTCTTAATAATTAATAAAATTAATAACTAATAATTAATAATCTTAAGGAGTAGTTATTAGCAATAACTTATATTGTTCGACGACTTCTTACAGTGGCTCATTTTTTCATGAAATTCGAAGGCCTTAGTTGAAATTCGGCTTACTTATTTTACAATAAGTTCAGAATAATTTCTATAATGAATTGTCAAAACGTATAGAATAGAATTTTCTGTAATTATCTGTGCATTTAAAACCTAATCTTCCTCTGTGTTTCTATGGCAATTAATTGTTATGAAATTCCATGCACCAGTGGCGCCAAGTTATACCACTTCATTGTTGGCACGAGTACCTCTTCGACCAAGTTCGTAGACATGCCTAAAAGTATTTTCATGAAGAATTAAAGTGTTTTCTGTGTATTATTTGAATGTCAAATGACATTTACATTGATATGATTGCTTCAATGGGTCTGGGATAATTTTATTTGCAAATGCTCTCATCCGCCAATATAACGAATGAATGGGTCATAAGTTATAATTATATGAAAAAATACCGTCAGTATCTCAGCAAAATCATATTTTTCCTCATGCATTCAGTTAGGGTTTAAATTATAAGCTCATATCAAACAAAGTATGGGCCTATATCAAGCAAATTATGGGCCCATATTAAGCAATTATGGACCTATATCAAGAAAACTATGGGTTTATATCAAGCAAATTATGGGCCCATATTANCTCGACAATAATTATTCGTACGCCCCCGGGCCTCGACAATAATTATTCATACAGCCCCCGGGCCTCGACAATAGTTATTCGTACAGCCCCCGGGCCTCGACAATAATTATTCGTACAGCCCCGGACCTCGACAATAATTATTCGTACAGCCCCCGGACCTCGACAATAATTATTCGTACAGCCCCGGACCTCGACAATAATTATTCGTACAGCCCCGGACCTCGACAATAGTAATTCGTACGCCGGTCTGCCGCCTGGGGTCGGCGCCGATACTTCACTTTCAGGTTGGTTCTGCTTTCATTAGGTAACATATTCTTAACGTTGAGTAACAATGATGAAATTAACCCTTCCATTTTGGACTTAGTGAGTGCAATTTATTCTTTAAGAAAATTTGTACTGCCTTCAAAAAACAAATAATAATAACAATTTGTATTGTCTTCAAAAAATAAAAAATTTTTGTTTAAACAATTTAAAAAGTAAAAATTTTTGTTTTGTTTTGTTTTAATTTTTTCAGTATTTCTTTAATTTGTTACTTCTTTTTTTACCTTCCTTTTTTATTATTTTTCTCTGTTTTTGTTTGAAATCAAATACAGTTGATCAAATTCCTGCTTTTTGCAAAACTTTTCTGCTATCATTATTAAGAAATAAATAAACTGCATGCTAGGCTGAATTGTTGTCAGCCATATGTAAGTCTTAATATACTTTCATACTCTCAACGTTTCACTCTCAGTTTACTGTTACTCCGTATCCAGGCTGTGTGTATTCAAGTCTCATGCTCATTTCTCAAGGGCTTGCTTTTTCAGTTAACTTTAAATTTATAAACTAGATTACGCGTGTGGCACCTGATGCGTTTCATAATTGTACAGGAAACAGTCAATGAGTATATACGTCATCATCACTTTTATTTATGTATTTATTGAGCATATATACAGCCAGGTCAGTGTGCCTGCGAAGGAATAATATTTGAATCCAGACTTTCATTTGATGCATCGAAAATCCAACATCGAATTTGTGTTTCACAAGCAGACAAACCCCGGATGTAAATGCAGCAAAGGGCTTTATCCAGAGACCTCCCTCTCTCTCACTCACACTCCGTGCTCTTGTTAATATGTATTTATGCATTTCCGTGGCGTCGCTTCCAATGCACACCTTCCCGAATAAATACATACATAACTAAACGCATGCGCATCGCTTGCATCCAACTAAAGCAGTCTCCGCTCTAACTAGAAAACAGAGAGAATTGGGAGGCCTAGGCTACAGTTTCGAAAATGTGACGCGCGCTCTGGAATGTGACAAATTAAACAAGCTTCCCTGCAACATTCCCTTTACGTATTCTCTCTTGCTTCTTTTGAATTTATTTATGTCCCTGTAAGCAAATATTGCTTCATCGCATTGGCTCTGGTACTCAAATTTATGAATATTTAAAACATACTGTCTAGTTATTAAATTAAATCCAGTAATTCCAGTTAACGCATCATCCTTTATTTACGCAGAATTCGGTGATGGTGGGTAGCGCTTTCTTTGAGGTATTTGCTTCAAAAGGTATCGATGAATTATATTCAAAATAGTTAAAGAAACTTATCGATGAATGAATTCGTTGATTATTTTCCACTCAAAGTACGTTCAGTGCCACTTGAATTAATAATGACTTTCTTCTCTGTCACACATACGGAAATTATATCAATTTGTCATCCTAATATTCATTGGAGCCATGAAAGCTACATTTTTAATCAAATTATGTTATAATGGATTGATTAATAGTTAAGTTTTGCAGCTCCATAAAAATGATAACAACCAAATGTATTTTTCCAAGTATATGACAAGCAAAAAATAACTCCCTTACTTTAATGTTTTTTGATAGAAGTTTGGATTAGTTTCTTAATTTATTTTCTTACATCACCAAGTTGCAAATGCTTAGATTTTCCTAAATCTGTTCAACGGCGGCGTA